TCTCTCTTCTCTCTTCTCTCTTCTCTCTTCTCTCTTCTCTCTTCTCTCTCCTCTCTCTCTCTCTCTCTCTCTCTCTCTCTCTCTCTCTCTCTTTCTTTCTTTCTTTCTTTCTTTCTTTCTTTCTTTCTTTCTTTCTTTCTTTCTTTCTTTCTTTCTTTCTTTCTTTTTTTGCTGAGCTATCTCCAGTATGTTTTTGGTTACTTGCCACCCAAACAGCTTTGATGAAAACATCTCTAATTTCCAGAGCTGGTCCCCTAATATTATGCCTTTGGGATTCTTCTCTGGGAATCCCCTGCAGTTTGCACACAGGGACCCTAGCTCCCCAAGGGTGACCAACACCCTCAAGTCTCAGTGGTTTCCCCCCAACCTGGGCCATCTGTATTGGAATGCACGTTAATTGCCATTGTCCCTCCTGAAGTGTCAAGGCCACAGCTGGAAACGTGCTCTGTATGGACTGACGGCCAGGCTGAAAGGTGCTGTCATTTCCAGTTTTCTAGACTCTCAGGCTCTAGTAGTGCCACCCGCATTACCAGAGGCATTTGTATTTCAGCAGCGACATTATTCTGGTGACTCACTGACTTTGTAGTGCGAGTTTTTTCCCATGGACTACTATCTGGCAAACTCTCCCCCCTATCTGGTACGTGCACAATGAGTTCTTCGGAAACACAGGCAAGACCTTACATTATGCTGGTTAAATGTCATCTTGTTGGCTCCCATCCAGCCGCCTAGTCTTGAGAGCGTTGTCAGTCAGGCTTCTGTTGCACAAAGCATGAATTCTGCACTGTGGCAGCTGCAAATTTCATGAGCGGGCCTTCTGTGTTCTAAACCCAAACTGTAAAAATGATGCTCAATGGGACGAGGCTAAGGACAGAGCCCTGGTCAACAGAGACTGCCAGTGATTCTGATTGTTTTTGCGTCCACCACACCCATCAGGATCGTGGACTAACCATGGGTGGGGGCAGGAGAGTGATGAGTTCCTACCTCAAGCAGGGCTCTTTGGTTGCAAACAACAGAAACCTTTAATGGCCAAAAGGGACCATATGGGAAGGAGCTGGGCGGGGGGAATCAAAGATGGGAAGGAATACATCACTGCCATGCCAGCAAAGGGCAGGGAGCAGGGGCTGAGAATCTAGAGCGAAGTCCAGGCGGTTCAGGGTCCTTGGTCAGCTTTCCATTGGCCCAGTGAGTGGTGGGCAGAGCATCTGGATTGGCAATCTTGCATCCTCCTCTGCATCTTCCTCTGTTAATCAATCAGGGATCTCCAGTTCGGTTTAAAACCAGCTGTGCACCTGTGGGTTCTGGAGCCACAGCTGTTCAAATCTGGCTCCGTCACCCACCAGCTAACTGCTCGGTGCTTCCTTTTCCTGCTGTCTACAATGAGGGTGATGATTACTTCCCACCTCATAGGGTTTGCCTTGAGGGCGGAGTTAATGCATGCAAAGTGCTTGGAACAGCATCTGGTGCATTGTCAGTGCTCTGTGTTGGTCAGCTGTGTTATTAAAGTACTAGAGGCCCGATGCATGAAATTTGTGCAAGGGGCTTAGCCCTCGCAGCCCTGGCTGCCTCAGCCAGCCCTCGAAGCCCCTCACAGCCTCTGCCGGCCCTCGCAGCCCTGGCTTCATCCAGAAGGTTGTCCGTCGGTCCTCTGGAATGTCGTCCGGACGGTCGTTCTGCTGTTCGGTCTAATTAGCATATTAGCTCTTTATTATATAGGATAGGATTATTACATGGTGAGTCCACATTTTCTCATTTAGCCCCAAAGATATATAGGTATATCTGGGTTGGGCACAGTTGCCCTGATTACAGGAGAGAGGCAAGAGCGCCCAGGGTTAATTCCCAGTGACCCCTGTTGGCATCTCTGGCCACCACTTCCTTTCTGAGCGCTCAGATAACTACTGAACAACCTGTGCAGAACCTGCTGGGCAATCCATGTCAGGCCAAGGAGTCTGAGACTGGAAAAGAGGGACTGTGATGCTTTCTTCTCCCCTGGCTTCCGGGCCGCTCTTGTGGAGTCGGTCACACCTTTCGCTCTGGCTCTCTTGGGGTACAATTTGCTAGA